AGAATGTCTGGATGAACTGATCTGAGATCGCTACATGTGTTGTGAAGGACAGATCTATCGATCCTCGAAATCATGATCAGCAATGCCATGATTGGCTGACGGCACATCAGCGTATTGACATCATCTGATTAATATTCAATAGTCCATGTGAGCAAAATTACATTAAATTAGCAGTAAACGGTTTGTTAAATTTGAAACGCAATAACCTTCCACATTTGTTGTGAGCTGCAGGCTTTACACTTTCATGTGTCAAGACAAGAGTATTCATCATGTATTTTAATGCATATCAGTGTATTTAGTTCTACATTTAGAGAAGATTTTCTTTATTATAGTAGCCGGTTTTTTAATCAGTGTAAAGAAAAACTGGTTGTTTACAAAAGCATTTTAATATTGATAAGGCATCAGCAACTTTTGTGAAGCATCAAATCACTGGCATATTAACTGTCAAAACATGTTTATGACTGCATAAATGTATTATTGCTTTTAAAAAAAGTCACATATTGTGCATTTCTATTATACACAATTTGTACTAAAGTAATTTAAAAAGTTCATGTCAATACATTTTCTCTTTGCACCAGCAGGTGGCAGTCTTTGTACTTTTATTTCGAGGGTGTAGATTGCATAAGTTTTATTAATATGTATAACTTCATTTATTGTATTAGTAACTATAAACTATATATATATACATAGTTAAAAATATTTACCATTTTCCCAAGTATATATAACTACTACTGTAAGAAAATATTAGAATTCGGTACTTACTTTCTGTATTATCTTTGCTTGAACTGAGCCGATCTAATCCTATGTATATGAATTTAACCTGCTTCCGATCAGGTTTGACCTAGCAGAACTGTTGCTATGACAACAACTCTCAGATGAACTTTGAAGAACGAAACGATCCTGGATCGTGTTAAATCGTCAATATCTAAATACAGCTAACTGAGTAATCCACATACGAAGAACGGACCCCTGCTGACAAACTGGAATTCTTCGAAAGACGATTTTATGAAAGACATAATGCCTGTAAAACGCAGGACACCTGCAAGGGCTTGTCTGGGATTTAAAACCCCGGACCTCTCGCACACGAAACGAGAATCATACCCGGGGATGTCCAAACTCAGTCCTGGAGGGCCGGTGTCCTGCATAGTTTAGCTCCAACTTCCTTCAACACACTTCAACTCCATGGAGCTTTCTAGTATATTTAGAAGAGCTTGATTAGCTGGTTTAGGTGTGTTTAATTGGTGTTGAAACTAAAATATGCCGGACACCGGTCCTCGAGGACCGAGTTTGGACACCCCTGCCCTAGACCAACGAGCCACTAAAGTGTTGACATTTTACATGGCGTCAGAAGAATCAGATAGTCAGAAATTTTTCTCTAACAAATCAAGGGCACCCTAAGCGAGAATCATACCCCTAGACCACCGAGCCACTGCAAAACAGCAACTTTACATGGCGACACTATCTGCCGACAAACTGGCATTCTCAGAAAAAGGCATCTGTGTAAGCCACAACGCCCTTACAAAACAGCAGACAACTGTAGGGGCTCAACCGAAATTTGAACCTGGGATTTGTCATGGCATGAACGAGAATCATACTCCAAGACCAGCAAGCCACTTTGCAAGAAATTTTTTATGTGGTGACACTATCTGCTGACAAACTGGAAATCTTTGAAACACCTTTTTATAAAAGCCATAATTTTGAACCCAGGACCTCTCGCACCAAAAGCGTGAATCATACCCCTAGAAAAACAAGCCACTAAAATCTGAAGTTTTCACATGGCATCAGAAGCAGCAGATAGTCAGAAATCAAGTGCAGAGAATTTGTAAGATGGAGGAAGAGAGTCTGAAACAATGGTGGATAGTCTATTGGGTGAGAGAGAGCGTAGGTTTCTGCGAAAGTCAACTTGTTTTGGAGTGTGTGGTGGCTCAGGAGTCCTGTGTATGTTGAGAGACAAAAGGAAATGATCCGATGTGTGTAGTGGAGTTACTAGTGTTTGATCAGTGAAGCAATGTCGAGTGTAAATAAGATCAGTAGCAGAAGTAGGTGCTCTTTTGAGGTCAAAAGAGGCAAGCAGAGTCTGGAAGTCAGTAGCTTGAGGTTTTTCAATGTGGATGTTGAAGTCACCTAGCACCAACAAGGGAGTGTCATAAACAGAAAAAGATGAGAGAAGAACATCCAGTTCATCTAAGAAGTGACCTAATGTACCTGGTGGGCGGTAGATGACAACCACATTTATGTAGAAGGAGTGGATAATGGTGGCTGCATGGAATTCAAAGGAGCTGATCTTTGCCAGTGACTATCTTTGAGTAAATTTCCATTCTTTGGAAATCAGTAGTCCAGTTCCACCCCCTCTCCCTGTCTGACGAGGAGTGTGGGAGAAAGAGAAATTAGCAGAAAGAGTAGCATGTGTAGCAGTGTCCTCCGGAATCAACCAGGTCTCACTTAGAGCCATGAGATTATAGTCAGAATGTGTAGCTATGGAGGTAATAAAATCTGCCTTGTGAACAGCAGATTGACAATTTCAGAGGCCCACGGAGAGAGAGTTGTGAAATAGCAGATGCATGTATTGAACGAAGGTTGTGATAATTATGCCTGGAGAGTACCTCCCGTGCTTTGCGAGTGTTAGTAACAACAGGAATTAGTTAACACATAATAAAATTGTAATGAAAACAATAATAAGTGCAAAGATTAAGTAAAATAAATAAATAAAGTACTCAGGTGCTTTGTCAGTGTCTTTGCTCGGTGGAGTCGCACAGGTAGTCAATGGTCTTTACACTCGTCGGTCTCCACACGCAGTGAGACTAGCTGCTTATATACACCCCTGAGCGCTTGCTGATAGAATTCAGCTTGACATGCCTCAAGAGTTCCCACAATACAACAACAGAAACTGAGGCGAGGGGTGCAAAACCGACCGTGATCAACACACAAGCTCTTACAGTAACCAAGGAAACAGTGAGTAATCTTTCTAGCACTACACACAAACAACTGAAATCAAGTCTAAATGTACTTACACGCTGCTGGTCTCGTTGCTAAAGTGCTTCTCCTTATATGGTTGAACAAGCCATCCTACTTCCCTTACTTACATTGTCTATCCATCAATCTATTTATTCATTTTGTTTAGTAAATGTGTTATTTTTGAGGCTGACCTCAAAAAAATATAATAATTTTACTGCCAGAATTTTAGGTGCAGGCTAGGACTGTCTCTGCCATTGGCAGATAACGTTTTTTTGGCTTCATAGGACATGGACCTTCAGCATGCAGTGGGACGGTTTGCTGCTGAGTGTGACATGGCAGGGAAATAAACAGCACCTCTGAGTCAGAAACCATGGTGCTTGGCTGGTAAAAAGGTTGCCATCTCCAGTTTGGAGAGTCTTTACCCCAAATGGAGTACAAGTATCTGCGTTTTTTTTTTTTTTTTTCTTCATGAAAAATGGAATGTGAGATTAAAAAATGGATCAGTGCAGCAGTAGCAGTAATGCATTTGATGTGATTGTCTGTTGTGGTAAAGTAGTTGAGATGAAAGGCAATGTTCTTAATTTACCACTCAATCTAGGTTCCTACTCACATCTATGGTTATGACTGAAAGGACAAGATCTTGGTAACAACCGGACACATTTTGCAAAATGTTATGACCCGCTTGTTTGAGTTGCACTATAAAAGTGAGATGAGACAACAAAATAGCCTGAATGCAAATTATTTATTATAAAATGTAACTCAGAACAATCAATCAAAGCAACCAACAAATGTCTAGGCATAATAATGAAGATAAAGAACTTAGGATATAATCACAACAACACTTTAACTACATGATATAAGTAATGCAAAACAAAACCATAAAGTTAAAGAGTCAATGAGATGGCAGGTCTTGACATGAGCACTCCCGAGTAACCACAGCGTCCAGGGGTAGCTAGCACAACAACTTTTATATACCCATTGATGAGTAATGCAGACATCCAATCAGGATTTACCACATATTCCAATCTGGAGTCTTGGGATTATCACTGTGTATTAATATTGTAAAACTAAATACTTGTCGCTCTGCCAAAATCATCAAATATTCATCAAGTTTGTATTCTACTCAAAACAGTAAATGTAGTAAACTAGAAAGAATTTTGAATCTAAAAGTAAAGAAACTTTACTAATAAATAGATTATTTGTTTCTCATTCAGGGAGTCAGACAAAGAACATCATCGAAAACAACACTAGCTACATAAATACACTGAAGAGTAGAGTACAGATGTATCCACACCTGTACAATCACTTGCAAAAAGATTTTAAGCAGCAGAGATGCTGTTTGCCAGATGTTTATGAAACTGCTCTTTTCTCAGTTGCCATCATTGTGTTTACAGTAAACGCGAGGAGCGCAACACATTTCTACAAAATTTTCACAGAGGCACAACAAACACACAGACGCAGGGGAGAAAGACAGTGACTGTTTACATGGACATCAGTAACTGACTGTTTAATGACAGTGGAATGTTTGATACCGCACATTGTATAAGAGAAAAAAAACTGCATTTCTTGGTAACTGAGATGCACTCAGTATGTCAGAAAGCCATGTGCTCGTGTAGACTATCCTGTCAAAAAACGCGTTTACATGTTTACACTCAGAGAGCAGCATTTACAGCAGATCCTTCAGTCCATAATATTGTAGTGATATTAAAGTACTGACTTTAAACAATTCCTCATCTCCCACTTGTTTTGGCAACCCAACTAGTCGTCTCTCTGCCGTCTGAACACTTTCAGGTAAAACAGTCTTTAAAGCTATCATACATATTAATGAAGTTGCCCCGAATACACAATAGAGCGCACTGATTGTTTTGAACAAAGTCTTTCTCATGAATGAATGCAGTACACTCAGAGACAACATGAAATACTCCCAGGTACAGACAGACGGTCTACATGCTGGAATACACGCAAGGAAGTGTATGGGTAGAAAAGTCCAGTATGACTGCGGCTTAAGTGCATGTGAATGGTTTCTTTCCAGTGTGGATCCTCATGTGTTGATTAAGGTATGATGAGCGGCTGAAACTCTTCCCACACTGAGTGCATGTGAATGGTTTCTCTCCAGTGTGGATCCTCATGTGGTGATTAAGGTGTGATGATTGGCTGAAACTCTTCCCACACTGAGTGCATGTGAATGGTTTTTCTCCAGTGTGGATCCTCATGTGTTTATAAAGGGATGATGAGCAGCTGAAACTCTTCCCACACTGAGTGCATGTGAATGGTTTCTCTCCAGTGTGGACCCTCATGTGGTAATTAAAGTGTGATGAGCTGCTGAAACTCTTCCAACACTGAGTGCATGTGAATGGTTTCTCTCCAGAGTGGATCCTCATGTGTAGATTACGGGACCACGATAAGCTGAAACTCTTCCCACACTGGGTGCATGTGAATGGTTTCTCTCCAGAGTGGATCCTCATGTGTAGATTACGGGACCACAATAAGCTGAAACTCTTCCCACACTGGGTGCATGTGAATGGTTTCTCTCCAGTGTGGATCATCATGTGAATCTTAAGAATGTCTTTTCTTCCAAAACTCTTTCCACACTGAGTGCAGGTGAAACGATTCTTGTCTCTCCTTTTCAAAATACCATCAGTCTGTAAAAAAGTTTTTTCCTCAATTTTGACATGATGTTCCTCCTCTATACTCCTCTCGTTCTCTTCAATTATTTCTAAAATAATAAAAAAATAAAACATTAGTTTTCATTAAGTCTTAAAGGGCACCAAGGTTACCCCTTTTTTCAGATTTAATATAAGTCTTTTGCGTCTCTAGAATTTGTATATAAAGTTTCAGATCAAAATACCCATCAGATTTTTCATTATACCTTTTACAAGATGCTGTTTTATACTGATTTCCAGCAGGGGGTGGTTTTGTCGTACTGTGCCTTTAAGCCAAGTTCTGCCCGCCCACTGTTTCTACATGCCTCCTCCCTCAGCTGCGTCAGACAACAGACAGACTTAAAGGAAGAAGGTCTCACATAGCATTTGTGAGATACTACAGTAAGAACTAATCTTTACTAATCAGTATAGTGAAGTTGCCTTGATGAGTCACACACAATATCGTTACAAAAAGTTAACGCGTGCACACACACACACACACACACACACACACACACACACACACACACACACACACAGATACACACGCAGGCAGACAGACAGAGCGCACTTAGCTTAGTTAAGGCTAACCTCAAGTACTGTGTGGATATCTGTTAAGCTAATGTACAAAGTAAACCTGATTTAACTTCCACAAACCGGGATTGAAGCGTCTTCTTTTATAATTGTTCTGACACGCGGCTGTGCTGATGAAGTAAAGCTGAAGTAAAACGCTGTAATTAATTACACACATACTCTGTTTTAAAACACTTTAAACATGTGAAACTTACTCTTAATCACATTTGATGATGATTGCTGATCCTAGCGAACAGAACAGACCTTTTATTCCCGGTTGCTCTGCGTATGTCTGCCTGGTCTTGTTGACATATACACGCGACTACCGGAACATGTTAATGCGCGCAGCTGTCAATCAATTCGGTGGGCGGGGGGATCGCACACCTACGTAATGGTGCGATCGATTTGAAAACAGCTCTAATTGGCCGACCCTTTTTTTGTAGTTAAATTGAAAAAAAAGGACTGGGTGTGTTCATATCACCCCAGTATGACGGTCGATACACTATTCCAACACACAGATCTGTCCAAACAGCTTGAAAAGTTGATTTTTTACCATAGGTGCCCTTTAAGTCATCCTTATTTATCTAGTGCTTTTACAATGTAAATTGTGTCAAAGCCACTTAACATAGAAGTTAAAGTAAATTTAAACTGTGTCAATCCAGTTTTCAGAGTTTCTTAAATAATTGATCATAAAAGTCATTTTGGTCATATTGATCAGACACAGATTTAAAAGCTGTAAATGGCCTATTTTTATTCCTATATATTCACAATTACAACAAAATGTTTTTCTAAAATGTGTAAAGCAGACAGGGAATACTTGTATATTCTGTGCCTGACTGGTAAACACACCAGAAAAAAAAGTTATTGCGTAACAGCTGAACAAACAGCTGAATTTTTGTCTTGCAAACATGAGACATGCCTGTCAGCATCTGCATAAAGCAGGGGTTCTCAACCTTTTGCAAGCTGGCCCCCCCCCAAAGCAGGTTTATTGCAGCTAGGGCCCCAGTGACTCAGAGAGGGTACAAGGACCTTAAATTTTTGAGACTTGCTTAGCTTCTCGAAGAGAAATCAAACAAATGAGCGCTTTCTAAAGTCTATGAGCACAGCACACACAAATAAACTAAATTGACATACTGCAGTTATATTTCGAAATGTGTTTTTTTTTTTATATTTATAACATTTGAATACAGTTCAGCAACATACATCACACAACCTGACGACAAAGGGAGCTGACAATTGACCATCACTAAATTTACCATCACCTCAAGATTGAAAATTTTACACTGATTTCATACAGGGTTCATACAGACACAGCCTAATGAAAATCAAAGACTTTTAGGCACTTTTTCCAGCATCTACTTTTATTTTCGAAACTGACATGCAATGTATTGACCACCTGAAATGTATTCTCAGCAACCCATAAAAACATTGCATAGGAACTATTAGCAAATTATTGTTATAATTAAATAAATTATGTAGCCTTCCCAGTATAAAATAACAGTAGCAGACCTAACTTTATAGCTACAGCTCGGCAGAGTCAGCACAGGTATAAAAACAGATGGTTTTATTCCTGATGAGAATATTTATTGTTGTCAGACTTCACTCTCACATAAATACACCTAAATAAATCAATCAAAACTCATAGCTAATCAGGATAGCCTGTGCGTGTAGGGGGAGAGTCAGAGGAGGGGAAGGTCCGTAAAAATTAGCATAAAAAAGGGAGTGTCAGTTTTGGGCACGTGCTGATTTTCACAGAGGCAAAACAAACACACAGACGCAGAGGAGAAAGTCAGTGACTGTGTTTACATGGACATCAGTAATCGAATTATTTGCCAAATTATTAAATGGTAGATTTTAATTGCAGTTTGGCTCTTTCATTCAGGAATTTCATTCGTGCCCGGTGACAAACGAGATATTTGATTCGAGGAATTGCTGGAAGCGTGTATCTTTCATGCAATGTTTGTTGCAAAAAAAAAAAATCCTTCACATTTCTCTGTAACTTAGATGCACTTGGTAGGTAGTGTCAGAAAGCCATGTATGTTATTCCTGTCACAAAATGTGGGTGTAAGTTTAATTGTGGTGCTAACATGTTTACACTCGGAGAGCAGCATTATTTATCGTACGGTAAACTTTATTAACTTAGAAACCATTTGACTAAGGTCTGTCTTTAAACACTGAAAGAGTACTGCTGACGAACTAACATTGCCTCTGAATAAACAAACAAAAATCACTGGTCGCTCACTTAACACATACTGGAGCTCTGTCTTTTATTTAAGGAGACGAGCAGCAAATCTGGATTTCACCATTTTCAGATGAGAAAAGCTCTCGGGTAAAAAATGTTCCTTAGACACACGTTTCTGTCACGCGTCGCGTGCAGCATAATCCACACGTGAGTCCAGCTACGCTATCATAGAGGGAAAATAAAAACAAAACCTTCACTGCAGCAAAGTATAAAACGCAACAATGACGACCCGAATCTCCAAATATTTCTTGTTCTCCCACTTGGCAACACAACGTGGCGTCTCTTTGCCGTCTGAACACTGTACAGGTACAAACAGTCTTCGAAGATATCATGCACATTAATTAGGTTGCACCGCATACACAATAGAGCGCATTGATTGGTTTCAACCAAGTCTTACTCATGAATGAATGCAGCACACTCAGAGACGTCATAAGGTACTTCCAGGTAGATGTTCAGTCTGCACGCTGGAATACATGCTAAGATCTCATGGCCGTGACGGAGCTTAAAAATTCATTTTAAACCGGAAGTACGAATTTGCTCAAAATAACGCAAAAACAACCAATTTACACTTTTTAGTGAAATATAGGTGTCCTAATAGTGTTTTTAGCAGTGTGGGACACATATACGACTGTCAACAACTCAAAAAATGTGTTTTGTTGTTTTGTGACCCTTTAATGTCAGAAGTAGAGTATGGTGGTATTGTTATTTTGGACCATTGTCCAGTCTCAATAAAATATAAATATGTTTTCCAGGCAATGTAATCCCCCAATGTACATGGCGGTTTAACTCAAGACGATTGGCAGATGACGATTTTGTAAAATTTATTGATGCTCAAATAGATTTCTACTTTGAGACAAACGAATCCCCAGAGATAAGTTAAAGCATCCTATGGGATACTCTGAAAGCATATAAGAGGACAGATTATTTCAGATCAACGTAGTGCAAATAAAACAATGTCAAAACGGCTTACAGAGATTATGAATAAAATACAATGGATCAGCTACACTCAACATCACCTTCTGAATAGCTCCATAAAAAAAAGACTTCTTCTGCAAGTGGAATATGACTCCTTGACAAGGGAAAAGGCGTTATGAACGAGCTGGCAGGTTATTGTGTTACCAACTGAAATGATCCTCAGCAGTTGGTTTTATATTTGCAGATCTGAGGTAAACAAAATTGAAATTAATGAGGGTTTTTTCTTTAATTATTTGGAATTACCATCTGTGATTCAGATCAGTTGGCATCAGAAGGAAAATAACACCTTCTGAAATTGAAAATGCAATCCAAAAAATGAACACCAGAAAATTGAAAACTCAATCTGGCCCTGGTGGCTTCCCAGCTGAGTTTTATAAGAAGTTTACTGTCACGCTTACACCCCTGTTGTGCAAGGTATTTGCTGAAGCTCTTGTCTCGGAATCACTCATCCTCTTTATGACATCGGCTGCTATAACAGTACTTCTTAAAAGGTAAAATGATTTATTTAAATGTGAATCTTATCGTCCGATCAACTTAATCTGCTGTGATTATAAGATCCTGGGGTGTTTCTAGAAAACCTAGTAAGAGCTTGTTTGTCAAGCCAAGGTGTGTCTGATTGGTGTCGGAACTAAACTTTGCAGGACACCGGACCTCCATGACTGAGTTTGGACATGCCTGCTCTAGGGGAACGAGACAGGGCTACCCTCTGTCCCCTCTGCTTTTTGCCATTGCCCTTTAACCTCTTGCAATCGTAAAGAACTCAGATAGCTTGCAAAGAGTTTTCAGAGAGGGACAAGAACATAAGTTCCTGCTATATGCTGATGATCTTCTTTTTATGTCAAATCCAGATACATGTATTTCAAAAGCTCTTACAATAATTTCAGAACTGGCAAATGTTTCTGGATACATAGTCAATCTAGCCAAGTGTCTCCTTTTCCCTATCAATGATAGAGCACAGCAAATGTCCTTCCAATCCTTTCCATTTTCAGCAAGTCCTGATAAATTTGTATATCTGGGTGTAAGTGTGACACGCAAATATAAGGATCTGTTCAATAATAATTTTAAAACAACCTTAGACAAAGCCAAACGAGGCATGGCATGGTGGTCAATCCTC